CACTTGTAAGATGACTTCTGAGCGTCGTCTTTTTGACAGCGCTGAATAAACACATTCAAAGTACGAAGTTTCAGAATACTTAGCGATTTAAAGACTCTCAATAATAAGATTCCCAAATGGACATTGCTGAGAAATTTATAGAATAAAATATAAAAACTAATGTAACCTTTATTTATATCAAATGGAATTGTCATTTGGCACCAGGCTGATGGCATATTTGTAAGGCTGGTGCCACACAAATATGCCATGTTCTTTTAGAGTGGAATAATCGAATACTTTTGTTTGCCAGATTACAGTAATTATACAGGTATCAATTAAAATTAGGTACGTTGTATTCAACCTGCAAGCAGATGTGCAATTATTAATGGATGTCATGTTTGGTGTCTGCCGTTAATTGCATTTCAAATTAATGCAAACTAGCATTTGTAAATTCTAAGTAATCTTTATTACTAATAGAAGCAACGTGTCAAAAACCATTTTGTCAATTGTAATTTAAAACTATGTCCTTGTATCAATTAAATTGCAGTTGGTAATTTATTGATTAATTAATTACATGTTGAAGCAGTTATTCTTATAAGTTACTCTTTGCAACGAGGTTGGTCTTAAAGATTCATAATATTTGCCCTTGAATTACTTCACATATGTTTTAAATATTGAGGACGAATGTTGACAAACACGCAGATATCCCTAATGTACATGCATGGCAAAGGCAATATGTTTAGCTTTCTGAACAACGGTTTGAAGCAGTCATCGAACCACGCACCGCAAATCGCACAAATACGTTTTCTGGACCTTAAACGCTCTTTCGAAACGTATTCAGTTGCCACGAATTAAAAGACCGTAGCTGAGCCCGGATGAAACGTAGCCATGAGCGGCCGTCAGCGCAGCTTCTCGCGAGACGCGTGCCGTAGTTTCGTAGAGCGTAAACAAATCTATTCAGCTTTATGCAAATCTGTGTGTTCTAGTTGCGGTGCTTATCGGTTGTTAACTCAATGAAAGTTAAATGTGTCAACTTCGTCTACATTATTAATTTTAAATCAATGTTTTCGGTTTCCTCAAATATTTGAGAGTGCGATGCCTAATTTGTCGATTGTCTACGCTTAAATTGAATTAAAACGAAAGTACAAATAAAAAAATTACCACAATTAAAGGGAAAGTTTCCTTGGAGCACACGTGACTGGTTTTTGTTCTAAGTTCAGGCCGGTCTAGTTCCGAGTCACCGACATTGGATTACTCTCCGCCGTTAACTCTTCGATAAGTCAATCAGCGTCTTTCATTGAACGTTATAACTTTTATCTTACTTAATCGACATTATTAACTAAAGTTTTGTTTCTTTATGTAGCTAACTAACGTAACTTAATCATGAATAAGTGAAGACCAGATTTTAGCGTTAACAATATTTTTATAATGGTGTAACTATTGAGCTGACACAACTAAACATGCACGACCGTAACAAAAGCTTAATGACTCACCCATTATAGGTATTATTAAGCAGCCTAACAGTTTGCATTGTGGGCGCTCGATGGTGAGGCCCTGGCTTCGATTCCCGGCAAAATCAATTAAGGAAATGATAGACAGATAGATAAATCGTTTATTTGGGTCTACAGACACACATACGTAACAGAAAAATAAGAAATATAATTTAAAAAAGTGTAGAGTCGCAGCACTGCCTGACACCCAATTATGAGATACTCAGAAGTAAGCCGCTGGTTTTCAGCCACAACCTAGAGGGTGCCGCGAGTACGATAACCAGCTGGCTGACGCCATTTGCATGTTTTTCAGTAATTTAAACAAATAATAATTTCGATACTAAATAAATACCAAATATATAAATGTAATAAAATACAATATTTTTAAGATTCCATTTAATTCTTATTAATATATAACTAAAATTGTGAATTGAAATTGTGTCTGATTAATGTATAAAAGTGAAATTAATTACAAATAAGTAAATCATGTTGCACAATGTTATGTAGCCACTTTTCGGCGCCTGAGCAAAGCGCTGTGGAATATCTTTTTTTTACTATCTAGCAGAAGAGTTTTCACCTTTTCCTTGAAACAGCATTTAATTTTTAAAAGTCGTAAAGGTGGTGGGATATCATTCCGATACTTCGTAGCGTGACAGCGGAAACTGCCGGTGAATGCTGCTGTTTTAAGTCGCTATACCCTTAGAGGGTGGCAAAATGATCTGGGTTTATGGTCGTGCAGTTAATGAAAATGGGGAAATTGTAATTTTATCTGGATTTTTTAAGTTGTAAATAATAAACATTAAAGAGACAAGATGTAACTGTCTGCGAGATTCCATGTCGAGTACACACGCATTATTTTATTTTATTTATTATTTTATTATCTATAGTTACAGAAATATGAAATTTGTTGTCTATGATTTCTCTTCGTAACGTAAACACGAAATGGGAGGAGTTTTATGAATACGATATTTAAGAAAGGTTAAAAAGATCCCAAAATTGACAAAATTAAAATTAAACTTGCAAATAATTTTATTTCAAAGGCTACTTGCCTTGAAATTGTTAGATCGATTTAACAGTACCACTCAGACGGAAGTCAGATTCCCTTAAGAAGAACAAGAAAAAAGCTCTAGGAATTGATATTGGAAAAGGAAAAGAATGGTTGTGGAAAATGAACTCTCTCTCTCAATCTCTCAATTCGAAACGCCAAAATTTATATTTAGACTCTATGTGAAATAAATGAAAATGGGCTTCTTGTGTGGTGTAAAATGTATTCGTTATGCCAATTTCTATAATGCTTGATTTGAATAATAAAACACAAGTTTTTTAATACATATAACATGCCTAAAAAAGGGTATGACAGTTTGTGTTCGATATGATCTTACTACGCAGGATATTATTATAGAAAGTTTTAATATGATAATTTATATATTTTTAAAACTACCCCTAAAGAACAATAAAACGAAAGAAAAAATGTACATTTGTATGGAAAAATCAAATCATCAAATAAATATATATATATTTATTTATTTATTTATTTATTTATATATACCTCTAATTAGGGATGTTACTGGTTTGTTTTCCATTCCTTCTGTACATTAGTAATGTTGTTTATTTACCTAAATCTACAAGTTAGTGTTAAATATGAGCCATAACATCGATTTGCAAAGTTACAGTGCCGGTCTACGGAGTGAAAATGAAAAACGTTACCAATTACCTTTGAGACTTGAGTTTTTAGGTTTTCACATGTCCAACTTCACACAGACATTCGGAGCACTCGAATCTCGGTCTGACTCCGCTCCGCTGTTTATTTTACGAGAACGACTGACGAGTATAAAGTTTCAGCAAACTGCGACGGAATTTCAATTTTATGTGTTTACGTGACGCGGCGAATGCACGCGCCGCCGTCGCCGAGTCGACTCTCGGATTGAGACGGGTGTCGGTTTTTGAACGATTGCGAGATTGAATCGAGTTGCTGACATGTCGTGTCAAAGATTGCTTAGTGTTGGCTTTACGTACTAAACTACTTACGTATGGATCCGGCATAAGTGTGCGTAATAATACATAACAATTCACAATATGGCTATGGCATAAAATTAATTCACTTTCTCGTAACCTGGACAACATTTTCACACCGTCTTCATCCCGAAACTTCTTATGGTAATACAAAAGTGAAAGTATCGCAGAATAATACAACGTGTTAAGGTTGTCATTATCATAACAAATAAAACAGAAATGGATTCGCCGAGGATAAGGAGAGCTCTCATTTTTATGTAAGCGAATATGGCAGCAACCGTTCTCTACGCTGAGCAATGTTCAGGCAGTAAAAAGCTGATAATAATTTAGTACGATGACGTCTTTGCGAAACGTTGATTTACGGCAGCCAATAAAGAAGCGGATATTTACCGAGATTGGCAAAAAGGTGGTAAAAGCTATCCCGTGTAAATACACGTACAATTTGGTTTACGACGTCTCCCTAAACACCTAAGTTCTGGTGGCCTATGGGACACACCGATCTTGCGTCAGGTACAGTTAATAGTCACCTCTCTATATTGTTATATCAGAACAACAAATCACTTCTATTCAACTGTTTTCTACCTCTTCGACTTAACCTTAACCTTTGTTTATTCTGTATTTGCATTTAAAAGTCCTCTGAACTGCATGAGCTCAAGCAATGCAAAACGCACTTAAGACTTAAGTTATTAATGTCACGTAACAACGTGAAAAAACAACGTAAATATTACATATTTTCAAGTCACGATGAGATCTTATAAGACTCGAATAATTTACGAGCGTTACATTTTACTAGATTTTTGCGAAAAAACAGAGGCAGATAGCAACAACCCTTTGAATAAATAAACAATGTTAGGACTTGCAATGTAAAAGCTAAGTTGAGTCCACTCCGATATCTTTCCACTTTAACTTCTTGAAAAGGCTCGTGGAAAGTTCATAATTTCGACTTAGCCTGAATTGTAATCCCGACGAAAAATCAGAATTACTCTGCAGATGCAACGTCGTAGAATACTCTAGAAAGTTTCTTTACAGATCGCCTTACCTTCATTCAAGTGTCTTCTCTTACTAAAGTAAGCAAAAAAGCGTCGGGCAAATGAAGCCTGACCGGGGAATGGTCCAATTAACGCGGACACAAGGCGAAGGGAGGTGGGGCGGTGCAGGGGACCGTTAAGGCGTGTGAAATAAAAGCGAGTAGAGCGTCAAGTGTCCGTCGTTACTGGTTAACGTAGTTTATGGACTTGGCCGGAGTGAATCTCTCAGTGATTACCGAGAACGATTCTTCGCCACCAGTTAAGGAAATCAATATTTTTCTTAAATTGACTTTTGTTGTTGAATGTTGTTTATTCAAACTATTGTTTTTCAAAAATGACGTGCCCACGTGAAAATTGTTACATTGATTCCTTTATTCCACTCCTAATTAATACTTTGTACTAAAGAACTTTCTCACATAGAAAATGTATTCAGTATCAAAAAGATATAATTACTTAGACGGCAAGTAAAATTATGATTCCTTTGGTCCAGATTGCCTCCACCTGCAGCTGTACCGAGACCCACGCGACCGTTACAAGAAAGGCCAGACAAAGGCATCGCTCTCGCTGCAGCACTTCCTCGGTTTCGAGTCCGGCTTTACGCTCGATAAGGAATCTAATACCATCGCCATCATCTGCCAGGATGTCATCGTCGTCTTGGCCTTTGAGACTAGGGAACAACTCATTTCTTGGCAGGTAAGAACTCATTGTCAGACATGAACTGTCTACGAACAAACGCGGGAAAGAAAGTTCTGATTTCTATACAATGACTTATCAATCTACTTTGCTACTATCAGGTGAAAGTGGGCGGCCAACTGGGTGCATCTCGTGACTTCTTGGTGCTGGTTGGAGGCGGAGGGGCGAAGAAGCTACCAGTGGGACCTGCAAGGTTGCACCTGCAGGGGCGGCGGTTCGCGCTCACCAGTGGAGTGCCACCGCGACTGCTAGGCTTGTGGGAGTTGGCACATTTGAGGTAATATTTTTTATATATTTTATATTCTCGTAACAAATAATCTCGTAAATAATAAAAATTTGTGGTTAAAGAATATTTATTTCTCTTAAGAATATAAATTCACTTACAGAGAAAATTTAAGATCTTACTTCAAAACTTAATAGTAAAGCGCACTAAATCTATACAACCATCACCAGTCACTGTGTATTAAGTAAAATAATGTAGGTAGACAAAAATTAAAATCATACGATTTGAGTTGAATTTATCTACAATTAGTTCCGAAGGTAGTTGCACGAAGCGGCCGGCATTCACACGCAACGAACAAAAACATAGATGTAAGAATTACGACGTATCTATCCCGCATCTAGATATGACATAGACAGAATTCACTTTTTAGTTTTTATTCACTATAGTTAGATAGTTTCTCGTTGGAATATGAACACTTCATTCAACTTTGTTCCTCAAATTATAAAACTCGCAGCACACCCATGAGATTAAACCTCTTGTTATGCGACTTTTTAATTATATCCCATGAGTAAATTATATCCTTTGAAATTGTATCAAATATCGTTTAGTAAATGAAATCAGATCATTTGTTATTATATCGACCATTACACACACATTAAGAAAATTTAATTATAAAAATGCTCTACGATATATTATTATTTTTAAGTTATTTCTATTTTTGGTTGCAATTATTGTTCACTGCTGAATATAAACCTCTATTGTGCAGGCTAGACATTCATAAAGAGAAATAAAATTGTGGACTTTATGAAAATAATAAAACGCAGTCGATGCATCTACCATAAAGCATGTGTCGCCAACTATTTTATGTTTAACATTCTTATTTTACTACTGACACTTGAATCCTTGAATTTTAAGACAGTAGTCGGGGCCGGGTCGCCGGCGTAGGCTAACGGCGCGCGGCTTCCGGCGACGGCCATGCTATCTTGCCGCCTCACCCGGCTGCCAACTCCTCGCTCCAGATACCATAATGTTCTCTTTATCACAACCCGGATGGCGCGTATAACCATTTTCTTAGCTCTGAAATTTAAAATATTTCGTTTCGGATAGTTTGCTAGCCATTTAAAAAATATGTATCTAGAGTCTTAAGTTAGTACTTAACGTTATCTCTGTCACAGCTCAGTACAAGAATAATATTTGTTTTGGCCGTTATGAGAACGTCATGGGAATCTATTACGACGGTAATTCATTTGAGATTGTCGTTAGTTCACTCCGCGAGTGAAATTCATAAATTAACGCTTATCTGTGTATGGAGCTTTTAAAGCGGTGCGGCCGCACAGAGAGCGCGGCGCTGCGCGACCGCAGCTAGATGCACGCCAACTGCGCCGTTTGAAATTCATTGAGAGAGATAGTGTAAACTGAAAATAATAAAGGACTACACGGGAGGTTTTAACGTATACATAATTGTGTAAAAGCTAGACAGTTTGTTATTTGCGAGATAATTTAACTGCCACATGCAGTATGACTTTGTAAGTCAAGTTTAATACCGAATATAACTTTCTGGTGTTTCTAAATCCAATTTTCTCACTAGTCTAGCAATGATGGCTACACGCGGCTTTCTCAAGCCGTCGAATTAAATGACAGTTGTTTAACTGTACTCGGTTTTGGATCGAAAACATCCGAACTATATTAAATAAGTACTAAGTTTGATAAATAATTAATTTGTAGGTTGGCTTGTTACGATAGGTATGTCGCATTTGATCGGTTTAACGATTATTACAGGCGCTATGGCGTAGTTGAGGGGCGCTTCTGCTTCGAGGGTGGATCGCACAGCGGCAAGGGTGAGGGTCTACACCTGCTGCTCACCGATCAGGCGCACGAAATCACCGAGGCCTTCGACCTTGCCGCCAGAGGAAACCTCTCTCTACACAGACCCACGTCTTCTAGGAAAAGTGGTGGTAAAAAACTTACAAGAATATTATTAAGTATATTTTTACTCTTATTATCATACACATCTGACAAAACTTAACAGACACCACTATTGCAAATTGCTGCCAGCGTCCTCGTGAATTCTCCTCGGTGACTTTCAAGTACCAATCTATTAAGTTCTTTTTGTCCTCCTTAGCACAAGAGTCATTTGAAAACTCGTTAAATTGAACTGCTTTTGAATTAGGTAATGAAACCAAGCGTGTGTATTATTAAAGTTAATTTACTTCCCTACAGGTGAGAAGGACAGTAAAACACGCCCTAGTACTCGTATGTCTGACTTGAACACAGATCAGTCTCTACCAGATACGGCGAGCGCTTTGTACGAAGAGAACTTTTTTGTAGAAGATTGCGGAAGGGTTTCACCTTTCTGGCCTTCAGACGAAATAAGAGCTGATAAAAGTTTTTTGAGAACAGAGGAAAAAGTGGCGAAGGCACCATGGGACGGTGCAGACCACGTCACTTTAGAACGATGCAGCAACTGCCTCACAAAACTCGGTGCAGTTTCTCGATCGTCAACCGTTGCCCTTACTCCGACATCACACTTCAATCCAGCCTGGACAATGGAAACTCTCCCAGGAAGCAGCTCAGACAGCTCTTCTAATAACACTGAGTACCTGACACCAAGAATGATAAGAAAGTCGCTAGAAGCGTGTTCATGTAAAGATAAACCTCCTCAAAGACCTCCAAAACCCGAACATCTGGAGCAGAAGAAACCCCCCGCATTGTTGCCGTGCTCGTGTGCCGTGGAAGAAAAAAACCATCCAGTCAATAATCCGAAAGTAGGTCCTTATGAAAATTACGACGTTCCTAAAGCCAAACATGTTGAACAGGTAAGTATTTAGGTATCGACTTGCATCATAGATTAAATAAAATATTTCGTCTACAGGTAACTTGAAACTTTTTCAGGTTGACAACGCAGAGTACTACGATACGCCAAAACGATTGAAGAAGGCTTTAGCAGAGGATCTTTTTCAAGTTACACCAAGTTCCTCGCCAGGGTCCTTAGTATTAACGAAGAACTGCGGATGTATACTGAAATTCGGCTCAATTAAAAAACCGGTAATTGTCGAATGTGAAGAAAACGTACAGCCGGTTGAGTGTCCGTGTCAAAAAGTTACCAACTGGGCGAATAATCTTATAAGTCTGCCTTACTGCAAGAGAGAAATTACTAACGACAAAATTTCTACTGAAATACTAACCAGCAAGAAAGCCAAAGAAATGGCACTGTACGCTACAGTAGATGTCAATAGCAAAAAAAATAGGCAAAGTGGAACTATATCTGAAAAAGATAACGGACAAGAAGATAGTAACGAACATGCATTTACTAATTATCAAAATGTTCACCCCTGTCGTGAGCGTGACTTTAACGGGCCTTATGCTAATTATGAAAACTTGGAGTTTGCTTTGTCCCTTGAATATTATGAAAATGCAAAAGATTTGCTAAAAAAAGCAGGTGTTACTCAAACAGAACTAGATGCCTTGAGTGCTAATTTAGACTTAACTGCTACAACGTTACCCAAAAAATCGCGATTGTGTACAAAATGTGGAAATTCACAACAACACAAACATCAAGATTCAAAGAAAAACAAATGTGATGAGTACCTGCTGATGGAACCACCAAAAGAAATCAAACGTGACCTTTGTCGAACAGTTGGGCCAAACCCTGGATACACGCCGATGTCCCCAAATCCTAATTGGTCACAAAGTCTCAGGCATTCTGAGCACAAATTGCACAAAGTAGAAATAGAGAAATCATTAAGTATACCAACCCTGAATAGTGGAAATAGAACACAAAGTTTCGATGCTACTTCTTCAACTATCAATAAAGAAGCGTTTCAAAAACGCTCAAGCTCCGTAGATTCAGCGCGCTTACTTGAAGATCTAAAAGAGTTTGACAGTAGCATTGGAAGTCACGCTACTTCGTCATCTTTAGAAACTTTAAGGAACTTAGTTGTAGAAAATAGAAGATCATCGTCGCGTTGTGACAATGAAAGGGAATGTTACGGGTGCTGCAAATCTCTGGGATCTGACAACAAAACCTCTGAAGAGAGTTGTTCTAAAGAAGCTCCGCATTTAAGGAATAAACACATTGATAATGCTCAGATCAAAAGATCATCGAGTGTTCCTTGCAAATCAGGTGGCAACAGAGATTCATCAAGTTCCAATGACTCCGGAGTCTCAAGTTGCTCTATGAAACAAGGCACAGAGTTCAATGAGTTCGAAATGCCTTTGACTTCGGGTTACTCACGTTACCAACATATGATTCACAAGCGAGTGAGAGGGAACTTGTCAGGATGCCTACATTCTTCTCTACCCAGAAAGTCGAAATCATCAGATCCATTAAGAGACCAATCGATGCAACTGTTTAAGAGTAATATATCTGCCAAGTCATCGTCAGCTGAAGCCGAGGTTCCGGTACTTCCTCCAAAGCAATTCAAAGGTAATTTTTCGCGTAATTTGCCAGCCTTAATCTATTCACATTGCGTATTTATACAATGTATAGAGCAACAAAAATAAAGCCAGAATCGTGCGGCTCAATACGAGTCGAGAAATAAATGGGTTCTCTCCCAAAGGGCCGTTTTGTAATTATTGAACGGAGTCACTCGGCGTTATCACCGTTTTCATTTTCTCTAGAAAATTACTGAAATACACAGATACAAAGGCGTTCGTATCGTTTGATCTTCGTTAATGCGACTGTTTTGATAGCAAATTATGATAATAATTATTAATTTTCGCCGGTAAATGGCAGCCTTTATCTTTTAGATGTTACGTAGTGACATTAGGAATTTTCTGTGTTTAAGGGGTATTGGACACTCATAGTACGTCGAGCGGAACATCGGATATGTCCGATTATATCGAGACGCTTTCGATGACGTCATCACAATCTTCCAGCGATACCACGTCGAACATGAGGTAAGCAAAACAACATCATTTTTGAAAACATAATTTTCATTTGAAAATGAAACCTTATTAGTTTATTAAGAAAACAAAGGCCAAATAAGTATTTATTTTTATTGAACATCATGATGTTTTTGCTAATCATGATATTCATCTATTTTTTGTGAAAATACTCCACTAGTTTGTTTTGTGTTGTTGATTTGATACAAAGGTCGAACAAACACAAAGAAAAATTCCTTTCGTCACTAAACTCATAACTAATAGAAGTTAATGAACGCTAAAAAATATCGTAACAAAATCAATGATTGAAAACTGAAGGCATTTAGATTGAGTTTAATTAATAGTGTGAAGTTCCATAAACTGAAAAGTTATTGGCTTAAACTTAGTTAAGGATTTAAAACAAAATCAAAAGTAGCTAATTTAAGTTGAAAATTTTCTGCTTATGATTACCTAATGAACTATTCTGTTTGGAGCAAAGGCAATTAATGAACTACGGAAGCTTATAAATTTTTGATATTTGCAATTAAAACATTTTTAACTATTTCTGATAAAGTCTTGAAAATCGTTTCATGCCTGTCTTTGGTTTAGTTATTTTCGTTAAAGGGAATTCATTAATATCCAACTAATAAGTCTAATTCTAGTCTAATTAATACATTTACATATTATTAACGTTTGTGCTCAGGTTCAACCGACAGCCGACAAGTACGCTGCGCCCACGCTCCGGCAAGGAATACCACAACCTCGACCCCATCATCACTTCCATGTATAAGAGCGGCAAGGACCTTGCCAACTATACCAACTTGCCATGAACGTGTATCAGTCTGTTTCATATCAATTCCTCTTTGTTTGTCGTGAAATGTGTTTTTGGCCACAAGCCTCGAAAACTGTTTATGACGTCATTGATCAGACAGATATTGTTAGCGATTTATTAACAATTTACAATAGTAAATTATAGCTAACAAAAACTTTCCCCAAAGTCATAAACCGCCTCCATCACTGTGTTTAAAAAAGGCTGATACCAATTTAACATGAATCTAAATCGAAACGTTTGTAACGAGGTGGAATATTGAGACTTGCAAGATTGTGTGCAGGGCACATTTAAGCCCATTTGGTACCTTCTTAAGGCCACTAAAATTGCTCTGTCTAAGGTTAAGAGAACAAAGACAATATTTTGTTCTTGGAAAATTTTGTCGACGATTTTGTACTTACTTGAGATTGAAATTTAACGTAAGGAAGAGTGAAACGTTACCATATTATATAATAATTATTTTAATTGAAAACTCTTTGTACCTATTACGTGTAGGATTGTAGAGATTGTGAAAACAGGATGCGACAAAGGAACCTGTTTTGATAATTGCGGAGAAATATAGTATTAGAGAAGTCATCAGCAGTCTATCGTTTGGAGCAAAGAGAAATGTAAAAAATATTTCATTTTGGTTATCTGAAAGTAATATACGAATGAAAATTTGCAAATGCAAACAAAGAGTTTGAACAGCAAACGTCAGGAGGAAACATTATCTACAATACAATAGAGACTTGAGTTATTATTCCAACTTTTAACAAAGACCGGAGTTCTCTTTATTAATTTTATTGCAGAAAAGACTGAATTTTTACATTCATAATTAGTTTATTATTTCAATGTTTGCGTTAGTGACGTCACCGCGGAAATCGTTCTAGTCAGTGATGAACTTTTGTACCATATTGAAATGATAGTAATTAGTAAGTAAGTTATATTATTTGTAATTAAGGAAATGTACAAAAGGGTAAATTTGTTAAACAACGATGCTTAGAGGCGGTAGGGGGAAGGCGTTTTATACGATTTATAAGCCGTATTTATCTTTTACATTATGACATTATGGTATTAAGTATAGTAATCCTCGAATTCAGTACAGTGTCGTCGAATGGTCTTGGGTGATCTGTGCTTGTGTTGGGCGTTACATTCTAATTTAATAATTGTCGTGTGTAATCCGTTACTAACTTTGACATTCATTGTATCTTAAACAAACGGAACTTACAGAAAGTATGCCGATTATTTAGATCCCTTCACACAATTTCCTCATGAATAAAACCAGAACATGACTAACTTTAAAATAACATGTCTATTGATTACACCTCATGTTGTCGCCATGTAGAAAAGTATTATCTGCGGTTTGTTGTGATGACTTGAAGCCGCGTCAATCTCGATCTCAGTTCAACAGCGATCGATAGTATTCGAGAATCTCTAAAACAAAAGGGCACCTCTAATGATGACAAATGCGCATCGAATTGCCGGCTGTGGCATCGATAACACGATACGAGTGCGGGAAGACGTTGTGAAGTCTCAAATGGAGTAATGGATCACGCGGTGGGCAATGGAGATGAACTCACGCATCCTGGGACTTACAGAGTTTTGTTGATTATTTTGTTAAGCTGCATTTCAAATATGTTTGTTCAGATACAGACGATTGTAATTACGTCAAGAAATGTTCAACTACTTATCTGTTTAATGTAAAATTACACTAAGATTTAATTATTTGTTCTTTAACTGTTTGGGAAACCAATCAACTCTAAAATTATGAAATCGTGTAATTGTATGGTGTTTTTTTATTGTGTATCTTCGTTTACTTACTAATAACCGGTAAGTCAAAAGAATTCTGTAAGTTCTACGAAATGATATCATAAGTGTTGTGGTTGGCATTAAATTAACTAAACACGGTATAAGTATATCAGTAGTAATCTCGCTAGTTGTAACCGCGTACCCGACTGTATTTCCTCTTACCATGTTATTGTAATAAACTATAGTAATTTGTACTTGGATTTTTATTTGAATTAATCCTATAATTATCTCTCAGCAAATAAGGGGAATTACGGTACATGTTTACGAAAATTGTATCTTTATAATAAGGTCCAAGCTTGCATCCTCAATTATTTCTGACAAAGACTGCAGACAGGGCAGCATCTGTATAGCGCGTTTGGTAGTTCAGGAAAGTAGAGGGTACCCGACCGCGTGCCAAATCAGACGTAAAAGATGTCATACCACTAAGAAGTGTCAGAACAGAACAGTTATATCATGTAGGTAATAATTCATTTCAAAGAACTTAGTTCAATTGCGCAACTAATTATGGGTGAGCACTTCATGCAGAATATAAATATTTAAACAGTGTTTAAAAAAGTACTAAAAATAATTTTAAGACTTAAAAAATAAATTACTTGGGAAGAGTTTTTCTTATGTGGAATACACAACACGATTCTTACACTAAATAATGAACAATAGTACATACTATGTACTATTGTTCATTATTTATTGTTGTATATAGTACATACGGGCACATGCCCGAACCCATAAAATTAAGATTTTTTTTCTGAAAACTAGCAGTGAATCAACGAAAATATCCGCATGTTTGGAGTAGTCATTATATAAATTGGACATATGAGCTACGGGTACTGTTTTATGATGAACCTCGTAAGATGAACGTAAATCATCATTTTTCTACTCTTGTTGGCGAAGAAAAATGTTATGTGACGCGGCCATTAAAATACCTTGGACAAGACGACGACTACGACTTATAACGGTCGATATAACTTGGATAAGAAAATTAGTTAACTAAATAGGCTACGGCAGAGTGACTAACGTCGCGGAGTTTATTGTACTGTATGTTACGTCAAATGAGAAACAAAAGAAACAACGCGCCAGTGGCATTTCTCATGTCGCAGAAATTATCTTGAATTATGATTACTAAAGAAAACCACAACCACAATAATCAAAACAGTGTATAATATGTACCTAGACAGTGCATAAGTTAGGCATTTATCACTCACAGTAATGTGTGTGGTATCGGTTAATGTATGCACTCCGGATGCATGCCGCATATCTGAGTGGGGCCACGGAAGTAGGATATTCTCCCGTGGCGTACAACTGCGTAACTCTACGGATGAGATAAATGGACGGATATCGTGAGAAATATACGGATATCGTATGCAGCTTAAACAGAGAGGATTGTCTTTGCTTAGGTTATTAAAATCACAACGTTGTCAGTCACGGTCGCCTTCGAATATCCTGTTTGTCCCAGGACGCATAAGTCAGTGCAGATAGTATTCATATAACACACCAGCGAGAGATAAGCCGGCCTCGCGCCTCGCACGAAGCCTACGAGTAGATAAGCCTTATCATAGAGCCTATATAATAACAGTATATGTACTACAAAAACATAACTACTGTCTTATCTGCCTTACGGTAAACTTTCTAACGGGACTGCGAGGAACGTAGTTAGGAAGATGTAGCAGCTATGCACGTATGATGAAAGAAATATTAAAGATGTCATAGGAAGTTAGAAACTCTGAAAACTAACATTGTCCCAGTTGTTGAAAAACTGTCTAAAATATTCTGAAATAGACATAATTTAATCATAGAATGTTAATATAAAATTGTACAAAACAATTATCAAAATTAGTTTTATTCTTTCAACGAAAATTTAAATTCAACAATTGACAGACATTAGTCAATTTGTATGCACCCAAGGAGCACACTTAGATAATAGTTCTCTATAAATGGTTTTACAAAAAAGAAATTGTTCTTATAGACTTATTTCACTCAAGTCAAAATTTTAAAACCTTCTTAATACCAAACAACTTAATTAAGTGTGATCTCTCTTAAGATTTACTATCAGCTGATTATTTTTAGTGAAATTGTTCTATACTTTTTTAGTAAAGTCTATTAATACTCTAAAAATTAGTGTTCTTAAGTTTATTCTAGATATATTTCATTTATAGACATTCTCTAGTGTTTACACTTAAATTTACACTTACGAATAAACTCGTTATAGAGCGCCTTCAGTAGATTTCATTTAAAAAAACACTATAATTAGGGTTTCTACTCTATTGGACGTTGTAAGTTCATGCAAAATGGATAAAGTAAAGAATAAAAGATCTAGTGTAGGCGGTGAACCTTGAATATTATGTCTACAGATGAGATTATTTCCATTTAGCATTTAGTATTTATATTAAATACAAAAGGTGTTTGTTTGTTAGCTGGGTAAAGTAAAGTACGGATAAATTGATTTATGTCGCTAGATGGCGTTTAGTTTAATTTTCTTAACGTACTCCAATCCAAATTGATAAAAGCACGTTATAATTTTAGCACCTTTATTTCTTTCAAATTATAATTTAACGTTATAATTTGAGCTATATAATATTATATTAACCATCTCTAATTATGTCACATCATTCGATATATTAGTCGGTAATTCGCGCGCGAGCCGGCTTTTTTGTTTGTTGACAAATAAATAAACATTGTGAAGTAATTCCGTGTTCTGAACTGATAAAAACAATTGAAATGAGCCCGTAAACTACTGTACTTCCATGTTGTGTATGTGCATTGTGCCGTCTATCAATTGAATACAGTGAAATCATTGTGTGAAATGTGGTTGGCGTGAAGAAATAACCTCAATTTTCTAATGAACATTTTATTTCTTCCAACATAAGTTAGGTATGTCATGTACGATAACCTACTCATTATCAGTAGCAATGGTTTGACATCATCAAAATCTTCATCTTCTGTTTCCGTCTCCTCTGCAAGCTGTTCTGATTCTTCGTAACTCATGTTGCGTAACAAATAGTGAAAAAATAAATAATTTAATATATATTACATGAAATAATGTAATTTTGTACGTAATATAGTACAAATAACATGGAATACTCACCCTAGTTTCAGTTTCATTCCATGAATTTTGACAAAAGACACATGTGAGCTTGCGACGAATGTCACAGGGCTACTAAGGGGTAGTACCTCACCCCTTCGAGGATATCACGGTCGCGAAACCGTTTATTGTTTATAGTTTTTGTAAAACAACTAAAATAAGGTCGCTGCGGTCTTTGAGACCGCGCACGACCGCTGGAAGGTTAATCATGAAAACGAAAAATTTGCTCATTGTCATGTTATATGTAATGCTTATATTATATATACCGAAAGATGTTCGATGTTATCAACTGGAAAAAATACAATGCCGTAATATTAAAATATATTTTGTTATTCAGGGTTGAAACGTATTTTTATTACAATTCTCGTCTTTGTGTATAATGAATACTCTCTAACCGTGATGTTACTTTGCGTATTTAGGATTATTAAAGTTTGCTTATTTACGTTATTCGCGAGTTAATTTGGGGCTAACATCAGTAATAAAACTTACCTAGACAATAATCACAAAAGACATACGACAAGCTCGATGACATTCTTAAACCGGTCGATACTCCACAATGTCTGACGATCCGCTTATTTAACCAATACGTATAACTAAAGCTGCAAATTCGCAACGGTGTAATGCGTTCAGCGGGGCGATGAAGGTTTGCGCATACAGATTCAGATTTAGATTAATTCATTTCTTAAATATAACATCTCAGTATAGATTGCACTACATGTCAAAGTATAAGAAATTACATTGAGATCGTCAGACAAAAATGAAAACTACAAGAAAA